AGGTCTAACCATTAAAGCAAAAAGTAAATACATGTTTTCAAATAGCCAAGCCTCTATAGCCATAATTTGTCATAATTTGTCAATTTGACAGCCCATGCATGAGGTACTAGGTTCAATCCTCAGCACCAAAACTGTGTGTGTTTGCACACATGTGCTTTTGTGTGTGTAATTCTAGCATATTATTGCCTTTTTTTTTTATTATGATGACATTTGGACTGGTGGTATAAAAGCAATCATAAGTAAAATTATTGGCACCTGACTGTGAATTACAGCAGTGGTATCAAATTGTATTATCATGGTATATTTCTTACTATACATTCACAGTTTTTTAAAACTTCAGTTTCATTTATCCTCAAAGTAACAGCAACAATTATTAAATTTCATCCTTTGATTACACAATTTTTTAGTATTCAGTGTGGTGAACCTGGTAGTATGCATGAAGCACCTGGTGTAAACACTAAGTAGATGGCTATCTGCAAGAGAAGCATTTGTAGTCTGTCTGAACTGTAAGCTGAGCTGGTCTTGGTCCATCCAATACCATTTTTAGTTGAGCATATTTCAGCTGAAAGAACAACTGACAGACAAATTGTGGTTACACAGACTTGGCTATTTGACAGATATTCTCCCAAAAGGAACTTCAAGGAAAACAACTGTCAGCATTTTCTGCCCATAATAAAATTTGAGCTTTCAGGTGAAAATTATAGTTTTAGAAAATGTATATCAGGGCTGGGAAGGTGGCTAAGTGGTAGAGCACTTTCCTTGCATGTATAGGCCCTGGGTTCGATTCCTCAGCAACACATAAGCAAAAAGAAAAAAAAAAGCCAGAAGTGGCGCTGTGGCTCAATGTGGTAGAGCACTAGCCATGAGCTGAAGAGCTAAGGGACAGCACTCAGGCCCAGAGTTCAGGCCCCACTACCGGACCACCCCCCCCCAAAAAAAAAGAAAATATATATCTGCCCCCATGAGCTTGACACTCTCCCAGTGCTTAGAGATTCTCATGACACTGGTAGAAATATTAACACTTTTTTTTGTAAGTCTTGGGGCTTGAACTCAGGGCCTGGGCTCTGCCCTGAGCTGCTTCTGTGTTCAAGGCTAGAGCTCTACCACTTGAGCTCCCCCACCACTACTTATGGCTTTTTCTGTTTATGTGGTACTGAGGAATCAAACCCAGAGCTTCACGTATGTTAGGCAATCACTCTACCACTAAGCCACATTCCCAGTCCCTTAACATTTTTTTTTTTGGGGGGGGGGGTCGGTTGTGGGGCCTAAACTCTGGGCCTACGCACTGTCCCTCAGCTCTTCAGTTCAAGGCTAGTACTCGAACACTTGAGTCATAGCGCCACTTCCAGCTTTTTCTGCTTATGTGGTACTGAGGAATCGAACCCAGGGCCTCATGCATGCAAGGCAAATACTCTACCACTGAGCCACCTTCCCAGTCCCAAACACCTTTTTTAAATGTGTCAATAGGTATATATATTTAACTCAACAAACTACAATTTTCTAGTAGTATGAAATATCCACAATGATCTAAAAAGGCCATTAATATATTCCTCACTTTTCCAACCCCATATCTTATGTGAATCTGTTTTTTTTAATATATTTTAATCTAAACAACTTATAGCAATAGATTGAATTCAGAAACAGTTATGAGAACCCAGCTGTCTTCTACTTAAAGAGAACAAAAATGTAAAACTAGGCCTACTGCTTCACATTTTTGCTTGAATAATAAGAGTAATTTTTCATTACAAAATATAAAAAAGAAGTTATCATTACTGTTTTAAAGGAATGAAATTAAATTTGTTTTAATTTCGAATAAGAAAAGTACCAGTAAGTATAATACATAAATAAAAATTCTTTGAGGTTCTCCTAACTTTTAAGAATAAAAAGAGGTCATAAGACAAAAAAAATTTTTTTTTGGTCCGGTCGTGGGGCCTGAACTCTGGGCCTGGGCGCTGTCCTGTCCCTCAGTTCTTCAAGCTCAAGGCTAGCGCTCTACCACTTGAACCACAGCTCCACTTCCGGGTTTTTTCTTTTTGCTTATGTGGTGCTGAGGAATCGAACGCAGGGCTTCATGCATGCAAGGCAAGCTCTATACCACTGAGCCACCTACCCAGCCCCATAAGACAAAATTTGATGACAGCTATGTATGTTTTTTTTTTCCTGTGTGCCAGTATGAAAACTTGAATTCAGGGTCTGTGCACTCTCTCTCTTTTTTTTGGGGGGGGGGGGGGGAGGGTCTGGTCGTGGGGCCTGAACTCTGGGTCTGGGCGCTGTCCCTCAGCTCTTCAGCTCAAGGCTAGCTCTCTACCACTTGAGCCACAGAGCCACTTCCGGCTTTTTTCTTTTTGCTGATGTGGTACTGAGGAATGGAACCCAAGGTCTCATGAATGCAAGGCAAGCGCTCTACCACTCGGCCACCTTCCCAGCTAAAAAGCTAAGCCTTGCTAAGGCTGGCACTTGAGTCATAGTTCCATTTCCAGCTTTTCTGGTGGTTAATTGGAGATAAGAGTCTCATGGACTTTCCTGCCCAGGCTGATTTTGAATCTTAATCCTCAGATCTCAGCCTCCTGAGTAGCTAGGACTGATTACAAGCATGAATCACCATGAAGACATAAAAATAGTTATAACCAAAAACACAAGTCAATGATTCATACAAGATAGCAAATTCTAACCTAGTAGAAATGTTTGGAGCTGGGCGCTGGTGGCTCACGCCTGTAATCCTAGCTACTCAGGAGGCTGAGATCTGAGTATCACAGTTCAAAGCCACCCGTGCAGGAAAGTTCGTGAGACTCTCATCTCCAATAACCTCCCCTCCCACTCCCCCCTTTCCCCCCCCTAGAAAACCGGAAGTGGTGCTGTGGTTCAAGCGGTAGAGCGCTCACCTTGAACTGAAGAGCACAAGGACAGTGCCCAAGCCCAGAGTACAAAGCCCCATGACTGACAAAAAAAATAAATAAAATAAAATAAAGAAATGTTTGGGATGCCCTAGTGTAAAATTTAGCATGAAGGGGCAATGTGCCCCTAGTTTTTAAGATGGAGTAATTAGTATGACTTAGGCATATGCCAGGTATCCAGAAAAAGAAAACTCTTTGTAATATATTTTTTTAAATTTTATTTATTTATTTAGGTCAGTAGTGGGGCTTGAACTCTGGGTCTGGGTACTATCTCTCAGCTCTTTAGCTCAAGGCAAGGGCTCTATCACTTGAGTCACTGAGCAAAATCTGGTTTTCTGATGGTTTACTGGAGGTAAGAGCTTCATGGACTTTCCTGCCCAGGCTGGCTTTGAACCTTGATCCTCAGATCTCAGCCTCCTGAGTAACTAGGATTACAGGCATGAGCCACCAGCACCTGGCTTATAATAATAATTTTTTAAATTAAAAAAAAAAGAAAAATCCAGGGGCTGGGAAGGTGGCTCAGTGGTACAGAGCTTGCCTTGCATGCATGAGGCCCTGGGTTCGATTCTTCAACAACACATAAGCAGAAAAAGCCAGAAGTGGCACTGTGGCTCAAATGGTAGAGTGCTATCCTTGAGCTGTATCGCTGAGGGACAGCGCCTAGGCCCAGAATTCAGGCCCCATGACTGACAAAAAAGAAAAGAAAAGAAAAATCCAGTAAGAGAAAGTTTATAAAATATTCTGCAGGAGTTGGGTGCTGTGGGCTCACAAATGTAATCCTAGCTATTCAGGAGGCTGAGATCTGAGTATCACAGTTCAAAGTCAGCCCAGGTAGGAAAGTCCATGAGATCTTATCTCCAATTAACCAAACAAAAGCCAAAATCAGAGTTGCTTTTTTTTTTAATACTTTTTTTATTGTAAAAATACTGTACAGAGGGGTTACAGTTACATGAGCAGGGTAATGAGTACATTTCCTATCAAGCATTGTTACCTCCTAAACTCAGAGTTTTGACTCAAGTGATAGAGTGCTATCCTTGAGCAAAAAAAGCACAAGGACAGAGCCCTGGTTCTGAGTTCAAGACCTAGGACTGGCACACATACACACATAAAAAGCAATAAATTTGGGGGCCTGTGGGGATTCTCTATAGAGAATTTCTGATTTGGTGTGAGCCCCATTCTATCCTGCCTTAAATGAAAAGATTACACAAAACAAATTTCCAATTTAGGGTGAGTATGTCTATACACCAAAGGCCTCAAGTCAACTAATAAATGGTGCTACCACTGAAAATACCTCTAGATTCCTCAGAAATAGCCTAGATATCAGCCTGAGAATGTCAGAAAGTATTTAGGTATGAAGTAAACAAAAATTAAAAATCATAAACTCTTTCACAATGTTTTTATGTTAGTATGTGCCAAGGACTGTTCTATATATTTTATGTAGATTAACTTAATAATGCATAATTCCATCTTCATTTATCCTAGAATTCACTACATTATCATCATATCATACCTTTAACTCTCATCCTAAAATGGTCATTTTCTTCCTGCCTCTTATAATCCTGAAAAATACTGCTATTGATACCCGCTATTCAAATTACTTAGTTTTTCAGACTAAGACTGATGATTTTTCCTACAATAAATTCTTTCAAGATATTATCTTACTTAGCTGGATGTTGGTAGCTCAGGACTGAAATCCCACCCACTCAGAAGGCTGGTATCTAAGGGTCAAAGTCACTCCAGGCAGGAAAAAAAATCTATGAGATTCTTATCTCTAATAAAACAGCAAAAATATTCTTGAGTGGAGGTATGATTCAAAAGGTAAAATGCCAGCCTTGACAGAAAAAAAAGTCAGTAAGAGTGCAGCAGCAGGGCCTGAGTGTAAGCCCCAGCTCTGGCACAAACACAAGAAAAGGTATCAATTTACATAACTTCAAAAATAAAACAATGGAAGAATCAAGCATGGTGATATGTGCCTATAATACCAATGCTTGAGGGGTTAAGGTAGGAGGATCAAGAAACAACATACTTGAAAATAGACAAACTGAACGTCCATGGATGCTTTTTGGGACCTCTCAATTGAAACAAGCAAATAGTCTAGAAATATACCTGTTGGAGCCATCTTTCATGTGAACTTTGGCATAAAGAACATCCACCATACCAGGATCGTCATTCATGTATTCTATCCCTGCCATTTCTACTTCCAAAGGTTTGCCCCCAGAAAGGTCACTGAAAAAGAAAAAATGTTAAATTTTTAGAACTGATTAAGCAAAGAAGATTATTATTAAGCTTTGTTAATACAAATTATACTAGAACAAAGTGGTGTTTCTTACTCATAATATTATCTAACTGTCCTAATTTTAAATTAATAAATGTTCAATACAGGTAACTGTAAAACACAACAAAGTTTTTCATTTTTTCATTTTCCCAATATTCATGTACCAGCTCCTCTAAGAGAAAAGATAGAAATGAGGGCCCTGGCAAAGACATTCACTGTGTTGGTCCTCCTCTCAAGGGCTCACCTCTCCTCATTATTTCTACAACTCATCATAATGATAGATGGGGAAACGAATAATAAATCTTCAGGTACAATCTCACAATATTTATGACAAGTCTTCAAGAACAAAAAAACACTTTCCAAAAGCAATTCCAGTTTTAGGAACCTATCCTAAGGAAACAGTTATGAATTCAGTTACATAGTTGAACTACAACCCTTTATAAAAGAATTCCAATGAACAGAGAATGTAGCTTCATGGCAGAAGGCTTGCCTAATATACCCTGGCTTGATTCCAAACACTGCAACAAAACAAAACTCTACCAAAACAAGAATCCTACTACGAAAATGCAGAAGAAATAACAATATAAGAACGTCTCAAGGGGCTGGGAAGGTGGCTCAGTGGTAGAGTGTTTGCCATGCATGCCTGAGGTTCTGGGTTCAATTCCTCAGCACCACATAAGCAAAAAGAAAAAAGCCAGAAGTGGCGCTGTGGCTCAAGTGGTAGAGCGCTAGCCATGAGCTAAAGAGCTGAGGGACAATGCCCAGGCCCAGAGTTCAGGCCCCAGGACCCGACCAAAACAAACAAACAAACAACAACAAAAAAAAACATCTCTATTTGCAACCTCTGATAATATAATGGATCAAGATAACGATCTGAGGGCTGGGAAGGTGGCTCAGTGGTAGAGCGCTTGCCTTGCATGCATGAGGCCATGGGTTCGACTCCTCAGCACCACATAAACAAAAAGAAAAAAAGATAACCATCTGAGACTACAGGGCAGAAAAAGTATAGAGACTCCTAAATAGAGATGTTCTGGGAAACAATGAATCATGGTGACAAATCTAAACCCACTGATCAAACTTAACATTACACATAAACAGATAGAAGTAGGCAATATATGCCTCTTGATATAGTAATTCTTCCCTGCATAGCACTCTGGAGGCTGAAGCATGAGGATCATGAGTTCAAGGCCAGTGTGGGCTACATAGTGAGACACTGTCTCCTACTCAGAAAGTTTCATCATGGAACCACTTGGGACAGGAAGATTAGCAACATTACTTGGAAGTCCAATAACAGGGACTAACTAGATATGAACAATAAAGGTTTCTGGCTACAGATATGAATATGTGTGCAAGAGACAGGGTCAAAAAATTCATATTCTCTGTGTGTATGCATACATTGAAAGTCCCTGGAAGGATACACAGAAATTAGTAATATTCCAAGCCTCCAGAGAAAAGAGCAGGTGGTAGTGGTGGGACAAAGTGATGAGGGAAGTCTCTATTTTGTATCTTTTAAATGTTAAAGAAGCTAAACACATAAAAATGAATACACTGATTGTATTCATAGGATATCAAAGAACAAGCAAAACTAATCTATGATAAGAGAAATCAAAGCAGTAGCTATTTCCGGAAGTAATTTACTGGAAAAGGGCACAGGGTGATGGTACTGTCCCACATCCTGATCTGGGTGCAGTTATATGGTGCACACATTGACCAAAACTTTCTTGTTGTACTTAAGATCTGTGGGTTTTACAGTAAGTGACCCCACCTCAACGGAAAAGACACACACAGACACATAGGCATGTAGAAATATGAGCTTATATCCCCAAATTATTGCTAATTTTAAGTAGTAAGATTAGATTACAGGTGATATTTTATCTAAAATGCTTAGCTTTATAAAAATTAAAGGGTAGGGGGCAGGGAGGATTGGGTGGGGGAGGTGGGGGGGAGGATGGGAAGGAATGGGAAGGGGAAACAAAGGAGGAGGCTACAATGCTTGATAAGAAATGTACTCATTATCTTGCCCATGTAATTGTAACCCCTCTGTACAGTATTTTCACAATAAATATAAAATATATATATACATATAAAAAAATTAAAGGGGGGGCTGGGAAGGTGGCTCAGTGGTAGAGCGCTTGCCTTGCATGATCAAGGCCCTGGGTTCGATTCCTCAGCACCACATAAGAAAAAAGCCGGAAGTGGCGCTGTGGCTCAAGTGGTAGAGCACTAGCCTTGAGCTGAAGAGCTGAGGGACAGTGCCCAGGCCCAGAGTTCAGGCCCCACGACCGGACCCAAAAAAAAAAAAAATTTAAAAAAAATTAAAGGGTATTAATTTTATATGACCACCATTTTGTCTTCTTCCCAGATCCCTTAAAACAAATATATCTTTTAACCAGAAAAGGCCTTGTTATGACAAGCTAAACTCCAGCTAAAAATCAGCTCAAAACATACTGCTCTCCCTAAGCATCTTGAGCCTTGACTCCATCTTATCCATTCCTGTAATCTAAATTATACCTGGCATAAAGCCTTATGTAAACTGAGTGCTCAATAGACCTCTGCTAAACGCCAAATGGATGTTCTACATAAAGTGGGAAGGTGTTCCGGGTGACTCTGAGAAGAATGTGGTCATAGAAAAAAAAGGGGTGGGGGGCTTATTAGATGGGTGTGTGGTGGCATGTACCTGTAACCCCAGATACTAAGGAGGTTTAGGCTGGAAGATACAAGTTTGAGGCACAATAGCAAGTCCCATTTTGAAAAAGAAGAGAAAAAACTGTGGTACTAAAAGATAAAAGAATTGTATAATTTATCAAGGATCACTTCTAAAATCGTCAAAACTAGCTTCATTTAATTGCAAACTCAGCCTATAGGAATATTCTTACTTTAGGGGACAAAGTAGTGTGGTACTATGATTTGAACTCAGGCTTTGTGCTTGCTAGGCAGGCATGCTACCACTTGAGCCATACTCCCAACCCTTTTGCTTATTTTTAGGGTCAAGTCTTACATATGCACCAGGCTGGCCTATACTGTTATGCTTCCAACATAAACTGATGATAGATATACACCATCACGCCCAACTTGTTATTAGATCAAATGGGGTCTTGTAAGCTTTTTTGCTTGGGGTGGCCCTGAACCATGATCCTTCTAATTTCAATTGCAGAGCAACTAATTATAGGTGGAAGTCACTATGCCCTGGCCAGGCACTGGTGGCTCATGCTTGTAATCCTAGCACCTAAGGAGGCTGAGATCTGAGGATTGCAGTTCAAAGCGAGCCTGGGAAGGAAAGTCCATAAGATTCTTATCTCTAGTCAACCACCAGAAAACTGGAAGTGGAGATGTGGATCAAAGTGATAGAGGGCTAGCCTTGATCAAAAGTGCTCAGGGATAGCACCCAAGCCCCAAGTTCAAGCCCCACAAATGACCAGGAAAAAAAAAAAAAAGAATTCTAATTTGTAGCAAGTGCTGATGTCTTATGCCTGTAATACAGAAGGCTGAGATCAGAGGATTGCCATTTGAAGCCAACTCCAGGCAGAAAAATCCATTAGACTTTTATCTCCAATTAAACATTAAAAAAAAAAAGCCAGAAGTAGAGGTGTGGCTCAAGTGGTAGAGCACTAGCTTTAAGCATAAATGCTCAGGGACAGCACCCAGTTCAAGTCCTTGTACTGGCTGGTGTGTGCATGTACACACACACACACACACACACACACACACACACACACACACACACACACACACACACACACACACACGAAATTTGATTGAAGAATCCCTTAAAATGTCACAGTCATATTTATTATCTCACAGAAAATTTTCCAGTAACAAAGTAAACAACTATATTAGCCAGGTGCTGGTGGCTCACGCCTGTAATCATAGCTACTCAGGAGGCTGAGATCTGAGAATAGAGGTTCAAAGCCAGTCTGGGCAGGAAAGACCATGAGACTCTTATCGCCAATAAACCACTAGAAAATCAGAAGTGGCTCTGTGGCTCAGCGGTAGAGTGCTCACCTTGAGCTGAAGAGCACAGGGACAGCACCCAAGTCCAGAGTTCAAGCCCCACAACTGACCGCCCCCCCCAAAAAGTAAATAACTATATTAAGCAAATACCCAATTAAGAAAAATTATGACCCTGATCGTAAGTCTCCCAGTAGCCACTTCTAAGATGTGGACATTTCAAAACACAAGCTAAGCTTGTACATGACTAGTACTTGGCCAAGAATTCTAATTTGGGCCAAGTGCTGGTGGCTCATGCCTATAATTTAGGAGGCTGAGATAGGATTGCAATTTGAAGTCAAGTACTAGAGTCAAGAACATCATAAAGGAGCCTGCCATTCAATTTTACCAAAGCACGTTCTGGAATACTTGTTTGAAAAACCAGTTTCATACTAAATGCATGTACGCATGCATACGCGCACATACACACACATGCGCGCACATACACACACATGCGCGCGCACACACACACAAACACACACCATTTTGGGTTTTTTCTTTAGTTTGTTTTGTGTGTATATACGGTTGTTTTGTTTTGTTGCCTGTTATGGGGTTTGAACTCAGGGCCGGGCACTGTCTCTGAGCTTCTTTAGCTTGAGGTTATAGTGTTCTTCCACTTGAGCCACAGTGCTACTTCAGGCTTTTTTCAGTTTATGTGGCACTGAGGAATGGAACCCAGAGCTTCATGCTAGGCAAGCACTCTACCACTAAGCGCATTCCTAGCCCTGTGTGATGTTTTTAAGACACAAGGTCTTGCTTTGTTGCCCAGGTGGCCAGACTCCAAAGGCTAAACCAATCTTTCTGCCTCAGTCTCCCAAAAAAGTTAGGACTACACACACACACCATGGCTCCCAGCTTCCCGTATATTTTTAAAATGCTAACCAAAAGTACCACCATATCATTGCCCTATATTAAATTTCATGTTATCAATTCTTAGGGTTCAATACAAAAAAGAATCATGTTT